CCAGGCTAAAGTACAGTGTCGTGATCTTGGCTCACTGCAACCTCTGCCTCCCAGGTTCAAGCAATTCTCCTGCCTCAGCCTCCCGAGTAGCTGGGACTACAGGCACACTCCGCCATGCCCAGCTAATTTTTTAGGCTGGTCGTAAACTGCTGAGCTCAGGCAATCCACCCCGCTAGGCCTCCCAAAGTGCTGGGATTACAGGTGTGAGCCACCATGCCAGGCCCAGGGTGGAGGGGTGGGGATAAAACCAGGATGGTCATACACTCGCTAATAAGGCAGTTAAGATCATTTGCTGAGATAATGGAAAGCATGTTAAGTCAAAGCTGTTTTTATCAGTCAAGAAATTATTATTCAGGGTAAACATAGCTTCGAGCCAGTCTCTGCCCTGGTTGCTCTTCCCCAGATGTGATCCAGCCAGATGATGATGATGATGATGATTTTGAGACATGGTCTCACTCTGTCACCCAAGCTGCAGTGAAGTGGTGTGATCTCAGCTCACTACAACCTCAGTCTCTGGAGGTCAAGTGGTCCTCCAGTTTTAGCCTCCCAAAATGCTGGGATTACAGGTGTTAACCACTGCACCCGGCAATCCTGCCTGTTTGTTTATTTATTTATTTATTTATTTTATTTATTTATTTTTTGAGACAGAGTCTTGCTCTGTCACCCAGGCTGGAGTGCAGTGGAGCAATCTCAGCTCACTGCAACCTCTGCCTCCTGGTTTCAAGTGATCCTCCTGCCTCGGCCTCCCAAATCGCTGGGATTACAGGCATGCACCACCACACCTGACTAATTTTTGTATTTTTAGTAGAGATGAGGTTTCACCATGTTGGCCAGGCTGGTCTTGAACTCCTGACCTCAGGTGATCCCCCGGATTCAGCCTCCCAAAGTGCTGGAATTACAGGGTTGAGCCACCGCGCCCCACCCAATCCAGCCAGTTTTGAGCTTGCTCTAAAGGTGTTCCAAGTGTTAACAGAACTGTATGGGCCACAATAGCGGGGTAGTGCTTCCTCCCAGAGACCTGGCTTCATCTTTGCATTACAGCAACCCAAGACTGCAGCAACACACAGTGGTCCAGTTACCAGAGGAGACTGGTTCCATCTGCCCAGCATCTTGGGGGATCCTCTCCCCAACTTTTGGTTCAAGCGATTCAGAGGAAGGTAGCCACACTCCTGAGCCTGGCCAATTAGGGCACTGCATTCCCTGGCTACAGAGACTGTGCTGGGATGGGCACGCGATGCAGGGTGAGTCGCTGGATTCAGCCTGGGAATCTGGCAGGAAATCCGGGATGAAGCACCTCTCTGACCCTGGCATCGCTAGGCAAGTAACTAATACCCTCAAATGTGCCTCATGAGAAGACGGATCTTTGTTCTGTTGACTACTGGGTCATGCCTCTTAGAACAGTTCCTGGCACACAGCAGGGACTAAATAAAGATCTGTTGAGTTAATGAATTACTCAGCTTCCTAATGGACTGAAGCACAGCCACACCCCAGAAAATAATCCCCACCTCTACTCTCCTCCCAGGCCTGCAGAGACCAACTCAACTTGGTATAGGGGACACTCCGGAGTTTCTAAGGCTCAGAGGATGCAGTTAACAGAGAGGCTGAGGCCCAGTGCAGTGGCTTACACCTGTAACCCCTGAACTTTGGGAGGGGAAGGCAGGTGGGTCACTTGAAGTCAGGAGTTCAAGACCTGCCTGGCCGACAGGGTGAAACCCTAACTCTACTAAAAATATAAAAATTAGCCGGGCGTGGTGGCGCATGTCTGTAATCCCAGCTACTCAGGAGGCTGAGGCAGGAGAATCACTTGAACTGAGGAGATGGAGGTTGTAGTGAGCTGAGATCGCGTCACTGCACTCCAGCCTGCGTGGAGTGAGACTCCATCTCAAAACAAAAAAACAAACAAAAAAAGGAAAGAAAAGAAAACAGACTTCAGAACAGCTTTAGTGCTCCTGATTACCAGTGCTACTTTATATTATTGTTTGTAATATTAGTCTAATTCCAACCTCCCTGCCTCCCTTACAGTTTAGAAGCTGATACTCACCACCGTGACCTCCCATACACCAAGGGATGGGAGGTGACCTGGCTGTGGTAAGCTAGCAGTGAGGGAAGTTTCCTGGGGGCCTCTGAAAAAGGATTTTCCTCCTTAAGATGTTCCCCTCACTTAGCTGGCCACCTGCCCCTCCATACACACACACACACAGACTTCCTCCCTTATGAAGCATAAAGGCACGATGCCCAGAGCCGCAGCAGCCCTACTGAGGCAATGCGGACTGCCTGAGCATCAACACAGCAGAGACAGACCTCAGGTTCCCAATGACACCACTGAGCCACCACACCAACGACGAAGAGGCCTTCCTCAGGGCTTACTAAAAAGCCGGCAAAAAAACACCCTTTTGATTTATGGACTGATTGACATTTACTGGCTGGGTTTTCAATTAATTACAGATGAGCATACATTGATACAGAGCTATACCAGGGTCAATGACACAGATGACTTCTGGCACTTTCACAGGTAGGTGCCATCCCCCGGCTGACACGGGTGCCCTCTCCTGTCCATTTGGCATATTGCTTGTGGCCAGGGCAAGTAGATTCCCTGGGATGCACTCAGGTTGCAACTCAGCCAGCCCTCTATGCAGGGCCTTCTGAAAAAGAGTCCTGTTCAGAAATCGGCCAGAAGATGTAGCCATGAGCGCATGAGCAAATTCCAGCAAATGCCTCAGCATAATAAAGGGTGGAACTATAAAAGGAGCAGTGAGTTTAAATGCAGCCAATAACACACTTCCTCCATCTGAGTCTGTGTGCCTTAGTTATGTCTTTCCCAGCTGTGACAGCCACAAAGAATGTCAAAGCCAGCAGGAGCACTGCCTCACACCTGTAATCCCAGTACTTTGGGAGGTCACAGCGGGCAGATCACGAGGTCAGGAGTCCGAGACCAGCCTGGCCAGCATGCTAAAACCCAGTCTC